AAGAGAAGAAGAGAGAACATAATATTTACGTGGTTCAGGCCGAAGCCTTACGTCCATGGATCCAAAGCCCAACTGGCTACATCTTCACTATTTTGGATGGATGCTTATATCAATGAGTACCTCTATATATAGAGGACAATCCCACAATTAGAGGAGATAAATTTAGTATGATAACTTGATGACCAAGTAACTTGATCTCTATCTTCTAGATATCTAACCTTATCAAGAGATATATACATATACATCCATAATGATGTATATTAATATGAACTTGATATATCCATATCTTAATACTTCCCCTCAAACTCAAGATGCTTTGACACAAAGCAGCTGGAGTTGGAACAATACTAAGTTGCCAAAAAAAAACTTGAGTGGTGATCAAATCCATGATCACTAAGGTTTTCTTCTCAGAGTTGCCAAAAAAAAACTTGAATAGTGATTCAATCCATGATCACTAAGGTCTTCTTCTCTGAAGATCTTCTCTCTCAGAGGCTTCTTTTTTTTCTATAGGCTCTCTCTCTCTAAAAGAAAAGAATCATCACACATGATGGAGCAACGGAAAACTCTATTATCCAATAGAATTGATTAACGAAAAACTCAATCATTGAATCATAGGCATCTGAAACAAATAGGACCGAGTAAACTCGATCATCACACAGGATGGAGTAACGGAAAACTCCATCATCAAACGAGATCAAGTAACGGAAAACTTGATCACCAATCAGGATCAAAAATTCAATCATCTTCATCTCCTCATCTGGAGACGGAACTCTTGATCATCAACCAAGGTCAAGAAATTCAATCATTTTCATCTCCTCATTTGGAGACGGAACTCTTGATCATCAACCATGATTGAGAAATTCAATCATCTTCATCTCCTCATCTGGAGATGGAACTCTTGTTCATCAACCAGGATCGAGAAATTCGATCATCTTCATCTCCTCGTCTGGAGACGGAACTCTTGATCATCACCCATAACTTCCCTTTGCATAGTAGTTGGACTGATATATAATTTGGATTTTCTTGTCTACATAACGGTTACATTACAGATGCTGACTTCATTTGTACTCATCTCATCTCCAATGAAACTGAACTTCTAGACAATAGCTCACATCTTAAAAAAATACCACTCAATTTTTTTTTCACAGAGGAAAACACAAAAATGATGAAAAACCCATCACAAAATCATGCCTTACGATCGATTATTTTGGAACCAAAACCATCACGATCACGGCCCCCAAACATTGCAGGCCTATCAAAATCATAATCACAGTAGCCATCGGTACCTCGATAATTACCGTGGTAGCTCTCAATGTTTCGGTATCTATCTGTATCATGGTATGAATCGATGTCACGGTCCTTGTCCACATCACGGTTAAGTATCAACGTCACAGAACGAATCAAGGTATCGTGCCTTTTCATGCTTTTGAGGGACCCTAATGTATCCAATATCTTTCTTCAAAATCTCTTCTTCTCTGTGGAGGCCAACCACGTGGACAATCATACTAGCAGTATTGGGAATGTGTAGCAAGCCAGCATCAAGAACCTGAACTTCACCATCATACTAGCAGTATCGATCACGCAATTCTCGTGCAAGCAAACCCGCATGGCATCTAAATCATCAACATTCAACAACAAATCTGATGGCTTCATCAAGAACTTGAACTTTGCCGATCTTTGAACTCTGTTACTTGTAGACCCTTCTGTTGGTTTCTTTTTGTAGAAGAATTGCGCCAGCTTCGACATTCTTTTGTTGCTTCTCTTTGAATATATCAAGTAATATTATTTTTGTTTCAAGCTCCATTAACGCCTCCGCGCCCAATCCAGCATGATTGCGAACGTAGTGGTGAAGGTTCCGAACCCACAACAAATCCTTGCTTTGATACCATATTAGAATTCGTGGGAGCATAGAATGGAGAATGGAGAGAAGAAGAGAGAACACAACATTTATGTGGTTCAGTCCGAAGCCACGTATACGGATCCAAAGCCCAACTGGCTACATCATCACTATTTTGGATGGATGTTTACATCAATAAGTACCTCTATACATAGAGGATAATCATACAATTAGAGGAGATTAGAGGAGATAAATATGGTATGATAACTTGATGACCAAGTAATTTGGTCTTTATCTTCTAGAACCTAACCTTATCAAAAGATATATACATATACATCCATAATGATGTATATCAATATGAACCCAATATAGCCATATCCTAACACTTTTGAGGGTTAAATTTGGCTGCAAGTTTCGTGAAAATTGAACCAGGGTATGAGGCATTTTGAATTTCCATATTCTTTTCCTTATTTTCTGTATTCTTATGTTAGTCTTAACACTCTCTCTCTCTCTCCAGGCTGGCTATGGAAATTACAGTTATGCTGGTTATACCCAGCCTCAACAAGCTGCTGCAGCTCCACAACCGGCTGCTAGTTATGGTGCCTATACTCAAACTTACCCTGTCCAGGTACCCTATGCCTCTTTTTATCTCCCGTGTTCTCTCTCTTTCTCTCTCTCCCCTCCCCCCTTTTTGAAGTCTTTCTAAGGTGGTTGAAATGCATTTCCTCTTCACTTAATTTATTACTATCCGTTTTGATTGCTATTCTTTGTGTGGTATTCTTATCTTTTGTTTTTATTATGAAAATGGTCAGCAGGCTTATACACCACAGACTTATGCCCAAGCGACGCCGGCCTTTACACCTGCTGCTGCTCAGCCACAAGCTCCAGTTCCTCAGCCTTATTACAGCGGTTATTATTGAGATCGGAATCCTCAAAAAATACTACAAATTTTGCCGCTTGTAAATTAAGGTGGTGGGCTTATGACACATTCTAACCAGTGCTTTCCTTGATGACAGTCGGTTGTATACCTCAGTGACGATGGTCGAGCGACAAGAAGCAGAGATATGGGTTCAGATTTTCTGTCTTAATATTGCTGTTATGTTGAGGATGGAAACAAGAGAGAGAGAGAGAGAGAGAGAGAGAGAGAGAGAGAGACATGTAGTGTGATACTACATACTCGTGACGTAGTAGTATTACTTTTTATTTTTTTACTTACTTACGTAAGTAATAGTAAGTAATATA